CAAATAAGCAAATGTAACATTTTTTATATTCTTTTAAGGACGAATATCATTTTCCTATTGAAGTTTGAGACCCTTTTTATTTGAACATAGAACAGTTTTCATGAACCTAGAACGTTTTTCTTTCTTGTTTTTGCGAAAAAGAAACTTTATTAAGACTCAAGTAGCATCCTTACAAGAGAGCGTATGAACCCACTCTGGAAAACAAGCAAAAAAGCACTCACACAACCTAGACCTAATGGCATACTGCGCCAACTCATGAGCTAAATTATTCTGGACTCTCCTAATCTTAGGCCACTCCAGTCTCTCGAGCTGATCACCAACTTCATGCGTCTCCTCAATGAATTGCCAAATAGTAGATCGATCACGTGCTTTGCTTCGGAGCTTGGCGACCACTGAACTGCAATCCGACTCGAGAATCATCGGGGCATCCGGCCATCTAAGAGCCAAACGAACGCCCTCCAATGCAAGCACGCTCTGGCCTCTGCTTCCTCTGCATCCCTGCAATGAGATACGATACGCCACGAAGTTAGTTTTAGGGAGCCCCCCAGTCTCTAATCGCCACGCCCACTGTGGCATCTCCCGACGAATGGTTGAACGCAGCATCAACATTAATTTTAAGAGTCCCCTGCGGCGGTCGCTTCCATCTCAAAGTTCCTTGGGCATCTGAATTCTGAACTTCAATACGAGCAGCAGGTTCTAAGGTACGTTTACCCTTCAGGTCCACATGATCCTCATGTTGCCGGATTTCCAACAGTGACCGCATGTAGCGAATGAGGAAAGTGACCGAACTAGCAATGAACGGGGATGCACCTTCATGTACCACCTTGTTTCGAATGCTCCAAATGTGCCAAAGCAACATGAAAAAATTTGCCAGTACCTCCAACGAATTGTTCAGTACCAACATAAGCAACCAGTCCGGTCCAGTCCTGACAAGATCCTCTTCTGCCGGCAAATGCCAGTGATTCCTCATGGCCTGACGAAGAGCTACTGCATGCGGACAGACTAAAAGAGCATGAAAGATATCTTCTTCCTGTGGTCCACATAATTCACAAACATCCTGCTGGTCCAGGTGACGGTATTTCTTATTAACTCTGGTCGGCAAGCCATTATTGGCAGCTTTCATAGCAAAGACAGAGACCTTGGATGGCACTCGTACCTGCCATAGCTTCTTCCATCCGGCACGGCCCTGATCTGAACTTGCGCTACTGCCAGGAGCTCCAACTCTATACTGATTCCGTACCACTAACCAGTAAGCACTTCTCACAGAAAAAAATGCCGGTTTTCTCATAATGGCATGCAATAAAGTCAGCAGTACGCTGCTCAGGAAGCTTGATACTAAAAATCTCCGCTGCATCACAAGGATAGAAGTACCTGCGTACAGCCGTTTCATCCCAATCACCATTGTCATCAATAAAATAGTGAACCCACCAGAGCCTGCGCATGCGACTGGGTCCAATCGGTTTAAGACCGTACTCCTTGGGCAGCCAATTATCCCGCCAAATCAGGGTAAACCTTCCATCTCCTATACGATGAATCACTCCCTGTTTCAGCAGTTCTAGTCCATATTCAATTGCACGCTAAGTCTGCGAGGCCTCACCAGCCGGAGCTCTATCCAGCAAATTGCCTTGAGGATAATATTTAGCTTTCAAAACCTTAGCACAAAGGCTGTCCGGTTCTCTTCAACTAAAAAGAGTTTCTCTTCAACATGTGACCATTTCCAAGTGAATTTGGAATGCTTGTATCCCAACGTTGAACAACGATCCCTGAACCAGGAATAATACTCTACTCAACAAAATATATGTTATAGACTCATTAAAAAACGTTCTAGGTGCTCCAACAAGGACTAATGAAAAGTACAAACACTTTCATATCTCCCATTGTTTTCTATTGCCATGAGGGTTAAAAGCTGTTTTACAAAACTCTTTTTGTGTGTTGTAGTCACAATTTATCAACCTTAGGTATATGGGTGAAATAAAAAGAAAATGGGAATCCTAAAGAGCATCGAGTCTTTTGGCGAAAGTCAACGCTCTATTTCTCTCATGTCCAATTCAAGCCCAAATCAACCTCTAATCCGTCCGATTTGAGTAGTAAGGTTGTCTCCTCTAACCCCATCATGGCTCAGAGACTCAGATGCGGTTAAGGTGCAAGGCTCGGGGTTTAAGGTCTCGTGCAAGGATTCTGGCACGCTTATAGAAAAATCTGGTGAATCTAAGGATGCCAAGCCGGCTCAACAATGGTGGACTGGTGGCAAGTGCGGGAGGGGAGGGGTGAGGCAGCAATACTACCGCTAGCCAGGAGGACGATGGCGATTGGGTAAGTAGGGGCAAGGGCATCAAATTAATAGCCCGGAGGAGCCAGGTTAGCGTGAGGCGGTCATGGACATGGACAGTGACGGGAGGGGGGTAAGGGTGCGCTGCCGAAGCCAGACTTGATGAGAGCAACGTTCATATTTGAGCATCAGGCTAGGCTGCCCCAAATCCAATTCAGTGATCGTACACCGGCAAGGAATCCAGCGAACGCTCCTACAGACGCGTACGTCTCAACTGGCGTGCCTCCCCTCCCTGTGCGGTTATGCATGCGCTGATGTCAGCGCTGACATCAGCAAAAAAAATCAAAGTATTTATTTTCAAATTACTATATCTTCTTAACGGTGTATTCATTTTAAATTCCGTCTGTACCGGTGTGTTCTACATGACAAAGCGAACAAAACTAGACCTCACTTAAATATGTTTTAAATAATTTTTAGTAGCAATTTATATGTATTTATAATATATAAAGTTGTATTGAATAACTTACGTACATAAGTTATATAGAATAACTTATATACATAAGTTATATAGAATAACTTATTTACAAAAGTTATGTTTGATAACTTTTGTATATAAGTTGTGTTCCATAACTTTTGTGTTCCCATGTTTTAGCATAAGTTATTATTTAATTCGTTTCTTGTGTTTAATAACTTTTTGTGTTTTCAAGTTTTGGCATAAATTATAAGTTAATTGTTCCTTTGTGTTTAATAGCTTTTATATATAAGTTTTGTTTCATAACTTTTGTGTTTCTAAGCTATGGGATAAGTTATATGTTATAAGTTATACGTAATAAGTTTTATGTATAAGTTATATATTATAAGTTATTATACAGAAATTAGTACTAGAAAAAATTCTTCGAAACATATGTAAGTGAGATTTAGTTTTGTTCGTCACGCCGCGTAGAACACACCAGTGCATACGGAATTAAAACACAAATATACCATTCAGAAGTTATAGCATTATTACGTCAGCGCTTCCTAACAAAGCGCAGGAGGAGGGAGGCGCGGTACCATATGCTATGTGCGCGCAGTTGGTTGGCCGGTTTGGTTGAGTTGCTTCCAAAAAGGGAAAGAGGGGGATTTTTCCAAAAAAATGTCTGAAAATTGATCTCTGCATTTGTTTTGGATGAGCGTTCGCTGTTTAGAGGCGCTGCTAGGCTGCTGAGTTGGCTCCGATCGTGGCAGCACTACCCGAAGTCGGGTGGAGACGCTTTGGTGGTGGGGCCGCACGGTCGCATGTAGCATTGGGCGGGCATGGATGGGCACTAGGAAGAAAGGGTAGGAGATAAGGTATAGAAAGGGTGATTTGATCTGGGCCCTTGATTTCGGATCTAACAATTAAAATATCGTGCGTTGATAGATTCTAAGAGCAACTTCTACCGCCTCTGTTTTGAACCCAAATTCTTAGATTTGGAAGCTCTCCGAAAACGATGGTTCAGTGAAGAAATCTATCTGATTACTTCCAAATTTACTTTGGATTCTGAATTCGTTGATGTCATTGTCATTCATGGTTAAATTAATGGCCCAAAACATTCCTGTTTGCATGCTCTCTCTCTTCACATACTGTCAATTCTCTCCTTCTAAACCTCTATACATTATTGACAGGAAGGAACCAATGTATTTTTTTATTAATTGAATATCCATTATAAAATATCTTTTTTTTGGGCGAATGATCAACAATCTATTGTTAGTCCTTGAAATAAGGTGCTGTGTTCTATGTTTTGTCTTCTTTCTCATGGAGGTGCAACGATTCCGAACATGCTTTTACAGGAATCAGTTTAATTTCACAGGAAAAACGCAGGAATTTTGTAGAAATCGCGCAGGAATTTCACATGAATCAGTTCAATTTCACAGGAAAAACGCAGGAACGGAAATATTTCCCGCGTTCCAAACAGGCCCTTATCAAAGGCGCAACAACCGGGTATTATGATCAGGCTTGCAGCAGATCCAAAGGGGTACACTGGTTGATAAAGGCTTCTCCAACACACCACCACCTTAGACTACTACCCAAACCTCCACGTCTGCTACTGCAATCCATGTCATGATGAGTAGCCTTGCAGCATGGCAGTGCCCCTTGGAGAAGAGTCGATGGCTCCATCTGCCCGTGTGTTCAACCTCAGCCTGTGTTCAGTTGTATCTCAGCCTGCAGCAATTGAGGATCTTCACTTTGGCGCTCTTTTCAAGCCTCAGAAAAAGGGCGAAGATCTGCACCTGTTGTGACCCACACCTGCAGAAAGATCAAGATTGGACACTGAGGAAACTTCAACCAACTTGATAGAGTTTAATCAGTTGCAATTGCAGCTCAATCTCAGCTATTTCTCCGTCGTACAAGTAGAAAAATGTGGATTGCTGATAGATTATTCCATGCTCAAGTAACCCCACATCGAGTTTGCTATTGGAGTTTGTTCCTTACAATGATTTTTACTATGTTTCTTCACAGAAAATGTCTACCCTCTCTCTATAATCGATATTTCCCCTAAAACAACTCATCTATCGGTAACCCATACAATTATAGGTTTGCCAAAAACATCCCCCAAAAGGCGCAAAAGGTAGCTCTGCAAGTCTTCAAAAGTGAAAGTGCAGCCACTGGGTTCACTTGAAACTTCAGTATTTTATCTGAGAGAATTTGGGTACAACATAAAGCCTCTCGCCCTATAACATCCTCCTTCAATAGTCAGCGCTGACATTCCGTTTAAACTTCGCAGATTAGCTTCCGGAACTTCTCCATGTGCTCAGCCTGCAACGAGATAGCAATGGACAGGCTGCCGTCTCCATTCGCACTTGGGAGGACAAACGCCAGACCTTCATATGCAATGCCGCCTGGCCCCATGAACACAGGCCGGCCCCATCCGAAGTCGGCATCATGGATAGGAAGGCGCACCCAGCTGGTGAGCCCTAGGTTCGGGCACCGGAAGGTATGTGCTCCACGCACCAGTGCTGACAAATCCGGTTGCAGCTCCAGGTAGTCCAGCGCTGAACGGCAGTAGTCATTGTCCATCCTATCCAGTGCTCCCTGGATGACTGCTGCTCCTTTTGCCAGATCACTGGTCACCTTGCCAGCCTCAGCAAGTGGTGTCGCAGTGAAGATGACATTGCCAAAGTAACCATCTGGTAGTGGAGGCTGTAGCCGTTGTCGCCCATCAGTAGCGCAATACAACTTGGTGGGTTGTTCAGGAGGTAGGCTGCGTGCAAGGGAGACACATTTCCAGACATGTGCCGCTAGCACTGCATATGTGCTGAACCGGGGTGCACCTTCCCCTGCAGGAAGCTGTGAGCGCAGCCGGCCAAGGTCTGAGCGAGTGAGCTTGAAAATGTCCACAGCAGTGGCAAGTGGCTTTGACTTGGAAGCAAGGAACTGGGGTGTGGAGGACAACATAGCTGGGGCAGGCTGGTACTCGATATGTTGAAAAGATGGAGTTGGTGGATCACGAGCGCGAAGCAGAGTGCGGTCAATGAAGGGCATGGCAGAAATTTGAGCTCCACGACAGAGGTCAGACCATGAGTTAATGAAGTGCAAGCCAGACATGCCATCCGCAACATGGTGTTGCATGCCAACACCAAGAGAGACGCCTCCACATTTGAAATAAGTCACCTGGAACCAAGAAAAAAAAGAGAGAAATAATGTGGTCAATTCCAACCCACTTCATGAGGTTAATGCGGTATGCTGAAATATAATATCGAATGCAGAAGGACAAGTAATTGATTTGTATTCCATTATGCAACTTTCTTTGGGCACATGTGATTTCCAAGATGGATAGGTTTATCCACTAGATTATTGTCCCACTGAGCTTAAAGACCAGAAAAATCTTGAGGACAAGTGAAGGTAACTGATTATTTGATTTTCTATTAAAAGAAATAACTGTTGAATTGTGGAGTTGGCACAAGCTTGTCCAAGTCACTAACAAGAAAACAATTGCACCTGACAACCGATGGAACTCAAAGAAAAAAAATGGAATGACAACTAGAGATGGCAGATAATTCTAATACAGAAACATCATGTGCATGAAATGGCTCTTGCACAGCGGCGTGGGTTTAAACTTGTAAATGGCCACAATGATGACGGGAGTAATATAAACCTATAAACGTAGGTTCTGGAAAGCAATTCCAAAGGACCAGTAACACATTTGTGAGTCAATCTATTGCCAATAATGAAAGAAGCTTGCAGTCTTCCACTGCATATAGCTTGTCTTCCCCAGAATGCAATACTGCTCACCTAAGACAGGGTCACCACCTGTCACTGCTTAATATTTTTATTTTCCCTTTTAAGTGATATGGAGCCCTACTAGGCATATCTCTAAATTTATAATCGATGCTGGACACCAATATAAAGGTACAAAAATATGGTGTAATAAGGTAAAAAGAGCCTCGTGCCAAACTCTGTTATGCTACCTTCAGGTGTGAGACACAATACCTAACTCTTATGTCATACATCTAGCTCCCTGCCCACTGGTAAGATCTGTGATGCTAAATTACAGCCTAACAGATTATCCTGTATCCATGTCACCAACCTAGTAGTACAAAACTTGTGCATAAATTCCTCAGACTATAACTTGTGCATAAATTACAGCCTAACAGCAGCATGAGATATTCAAGATAATGAAATCAAGCAACAAGATCCAAACCTATTGTCAAAGAACAATATAAGGTTTTAGGTCTAGTAAGTAAAATATGTAGGATTGTACATTTGTATCATCGCACTCTGTTCCAAAACCTATGTTACTCATGAAGCAACCAGTTTGCAGAAGCACACAGACATGAAGGCCTTGGCAATTTTCAATGTGGATAACACAGTTTCAAATGTGCAGTATAGTTGAAGTCAACCTGCCATATAATTAAGCATGCACCTATGATGAAGCCTATATTCAATACAGAAAGAGGTTTTTATCAAGAATGGGAAAAAAGAGGGCCCCACAAGCATATGAAATAATGAAATTGTATTGTTAGACAAGCTTTGCAGAAGACTGCCTTTTTATTAAAAAAAAAGCTTTGCAGAAAACTATGACATGGACATGCCCCAGTTAGTCTATCACTTTTGTACCAACCAACATGCAGCGTGCATTCCAAGCAAGATTATTCAGCAAGTTGTTGTCGACAGGCTGGTGACTAACAAAATTGCAGGGTCCACATAAACTTAGGACACACCAGGTAATACTAATTCACTTCAATTTTACAAGTGAGCAGATTTTGTTGCGAAGTGAAACTGCCAGTAAGGATAGTCAACCCATACTCCATAGTTCAAAAAAGCAAATCAACACCTTTTCCATTCGACGTTGTACAGTACAGCAATATTTACAATTTAAATTCAAGTTCATCAGATTATTCGCTATAAAACTGGTGATGCATCATATTCAATCAAATATTAGAAAATGAAATAGCATATGTGACAATGGACCACCAGAAGGCCAGCAGGTCAGACAAGTTTCATTTAGGCAGAATTGGAAGTGCAAGCTGAATGGTGTATTCATGAAAACCTAGTCACAGAAGAATAGTTTACAACTTGCAAGAATACAAAGTTTTGCAAAGCAAAAGGGTTCACTTTTAAGACAGGAAAACTTAAGCTATTGGGCTAGTTTAAAAGTAACAATCAGACATCAATATTAAATCCAATTAAACCTATGCATATCCAAAGATAATCAAACAAATGCTGACTACATGAAGCTGCAAACTTGACCAGGCAACCTCACTTGGAAACCAGGTAGGCCCTACTAGCAAGTAGCAATTTCACGTAACGATTGGCACTGGTCCAATATATACAAGGCATGATTAATGCAACCTAACATTATGACTACTATAGGCACAAAAGGCATACAATAGTCAAAAGAATTGAAGTGTTAATATTTAAGTCAATAGGAAAGTTCTGCACATGCTACTTGTCCATTATTGGTATGGAACCAATTAGATGATTACGGGCATAAGACACAAGCCCAAAGCACCATAGGTTGAGACAAGAAACGTCCAAAGGTCAGGAATATTTAAAAAGTCAACAAGTACATAGTACTCCCTCCGTTCCAAATTATAAGTCGCTTTGACTTTTTTGGTTCATCCATTTTCTTGTGTCTAGACATATTATTATATCTAGATGCATAGCAAAATTGATGCACCAAAAAAGTCAAAGCGACTTATAATTTGGTTCATCCATTTTGCTATGTATCTAGACATATTATTATATCCAGATGCTCAGCTCAGGCTCAATTTGCTTGACGGGCATTCAATTTTCTGTAGCAGCGATTGTAGAATACCACTAAAAAAGCGTTGGAGCCCGGGCAGCCGCCCACGCTCGCCGGGCCTTGGGACCGCCCTTGGATGCCGAATTTTCTTAAGCAATTCTAACCAAGGGTACTAATAAAATCCAGCCAAAACAGAGGCCCAACTCAGAACAAGACAGCGACAGCAGGGGTGGGTGGGTAGAACTATGCAAGCAAGTGGTACGGTTACAGCTAATAAACCTAGAACACGAGGTACTCTCAGGAGAATTACATCAACCGACAAAAAAAGGCCCAGCTATCCAATCATGCACTAAACAAATAGGAGTACTACAGGTGAACCAAAATTAGTTGCCGTGCTGTTTGTGAAGACTTTGCCGTACGACTTCCAGAAAGCTATAAACAGGGGTGTCCTCAGTTTCTGTCCTTAGTCTAATCGAAACAACACTAGGAACTGAGCAAGCTCACCTGGAGCACGAGTAGAGGGAAGGCCGAGATGTCGTCGGTGTAATCCACGGTCGGGATGAGGCGTTTCAGGTCCATGGTGGGCGCGAAGTCACCGTAGTCGCCGACGGAGGCGTCGGGCGCGTCGGCCTCGACGAAGAGTACTCCCTCGCCATTGCAGTCGATCTCGACCCTCCCGTCCTCGTCCCGCGCGAGGCGGCCCGCCATCGGATAGAACGGCACGAGCGCCTCTGCCAGCGCGCGCCGCATCCGCTCGCCGTCGAAGAACCCCTCCGCCGGCGCCGCGGCGCCGTCGCGGCGGTAGAAGTAGACGCTGGGCGTGTGGAAGCGCGGCACCACGAGGTCGAGGTTGGAGTTCCACAGCCTCTGCCGCGGCGTCTCCCGCGCCGGGCGCACCATCGTCGACCGCCTCACAGTGATCGCCATCTGCATTCCACTCCATTCCACGGAACAGCTTATAAGCGCCCCCCAAAAATTCCCCACCAACAGAAGAAATAATCGAAGCTGAAAACACTGCCATGAGTTGGACTGGACTGCTAGAGGAAGAAGGGCGGCTTGCGGCGACCAACCTGAGCGAAGACGCGGCGCCGCGGATCAGATCTAGGGCGGTCGAACAGGAAAGACTCTGGACAAATCCAGCGATAGGTTTGGTGGTGGCAGCAGCTCTTGGTGGAGAGCAGCTGGTGGGAGAGTGGGGGGTGGGGCGGATTTTATAGGCGGAGATCTCGGGGGAGGCGGGCGGATCCTCTGACTTGCTCGGATTGGCTTCCGCTCCTCCCATTTTCTTCTCTTTTCTTTTCACCGCTCCTCCTCCCCTTCGGGCTTCGGCGCAGTGCGTCTGAAGGAGGTGGCGTGGCGACGAGGAGTGGAGTTGGTCAGTTGGGGGTTGGTGGGACGGGGACGTGGAGGCGACAGGGACGGAGCCGCGGAGACGAATTGCAATGAACATGGTCCACACTCCATCGTAAGGACACTGGACTCCGGGCCCTTCTGCACGGTAGCGGGGGCGTCGGATTAGGCTATGACCAACCGCTACATGATGGCTGGTGGTCTCATTCGGATTACGCCCTCTGCCTTAGAAATAGTGTCATTATAAGATTTTGCGGTTTGTGGTGATCAAACTTTCTTACATCTAATTAAATCTATAAAAAAATTATATTAGTAATATTTGTATCTCTAGATAAGTTTAGGATAAAAATATATCCAATAATTTATCTAATAATACTAGTTATGCATCATAAATGTTAATGTTTTCTTATATATTTAGTAAATTTTAATAATATTAGACTTCTCGAGAAATATGAATGATATTTTGTATAGAATGGAGGGAGCAGTGTCTGTAGAGGTACCAAAGGCTTAGTCTAACAAAAGTACTCCCTATATAATAGGATGTAATTCTATAACAATGCTATGTTAAAGTATATTAAATTTAACAAATTTTATATAAGTACTATTGTTGGGCTCATAAACCTGGGGTTCCTCATGTATCGGCTTTCCAACAAAAGCTCGGCTTAGCAGACAATGTTGCGAACGACGCGCAACTCCTGAGTCGGCCCAAATAACTAAACGATAGGTCAGAAGGGTGATCCAATCTCCGACTGGAAGGCCCGATCGAGGAGGAACGGCGTCCGCTTTCAACTCCGGCCCGCCTCTCCGACCGGAAGGCCTCACTAAGGAGGAACAACGCTCACTTCCGACTCCAGCCCGCCTCCGGGCGGCCTCTCCGACCGGAAGGCTTGGCCAAACACCACTTCCGACTCCGACCCCCGTCTCCGACCGAGGACGACCAACCCCACACATACGACTCTTCTTCGATGGCGCGCATCGGAGCTAATCGGGGACCAACCGACCGGGAACGCCTTGCTTTCGGTGAGGACCAGAAACAAACGAACAAGTAAGGCGTAGGCACTCAAGTCAACCGCATAATACTGGGGGACCGTACTCAGACACATGTAGGGCCGATGACCGACAGGGACATGTCAGAAGAGTGCCCTTCAACCTTCTAGGCATGTCAGAACCCAAGTAGTGTTGTGGGCGTTGACATTTGCCCTACAGTATTATGGGCGCCCGCAACTCCCATACTAGACGAGCACGGTAAAACCCCTTGCATACCTCTGGGCATCAACAGTATGGCAGGCACCGACGTTTGCCATATCAGAAGAAGACGACGCAACCTCCCACATGCATCTGACATTAACAGTGTTATGGGCGCCTACAATCATCTTATACCCGACGGCGTAGGCAACAAGACTTAGCATACGTACACTCTCTCTCTCTCTCTCACTTGTAAGGCCACCCCCTTCATCTATAAAAGGGATGCGCTCTCTCCCAAAGAGAGAGAATCAGTCCATAACATCCCTCAGTTCACTCACACACAACAACAGAACCACTAGGTTCAAACCTTGAGCACACGCTCAAACACTTAGCACATAGCGGAGCTCCTGTCACTCTCGGTCCTTCATACTAGAGTTCGACCGGACCTCTTATACCCCCATCTTTCTTCCTTTTATTTGTAACCCCACAGCAAACTTCGAGCACCTGGGCTCAGGAATAAAGTCATCGACCGACTCAAACTAGACGTAGGGCACGTTGCCTGAACTAGTATAAACCCTGTGTCATTGAGTGCTAGGCCACATCCGATCACAACGTACGGCAAAACTACAAATATTTACGTGTTGGTCACTTTCTGCACCGACAATTGGTGCCGTCCGTGGGGAGGACGTTGTACGTTCACGCTTTTGGTCATCGGATGGTCCACTTTTCTGCCATCTTCACCATGGCAGGCTCAAGCGATACGACTCGCTTCGGCTCGCTAGAGTTTCCCGCACTCTCACCTGTTGGGATGTGGGTTCCACCCGTCTTCGAGCCGTCCCAGGCCTTCCTCTTTGGAAGCCTGGACTTCGTCGTCGACCGGCTCGGCATACTACACCTCCGCGAGGAGGCACTTGTTCCGGCACCTGTCGGAGGGGCACTCTCCATCGGCTCCTGGACACACGACGACTTCAACGATGAGCCGCCTGCGCTTCATTCCGAGCAAACGCTCTGCTCAAACCCCGTTGTGAGTAACGTACATACTATTATTTACTCGCTATTTACTATCTTCCGCCGATTATCTATAGGGACCGCATTGTCTGCACCGCAACCACCGTCGACCGGTTCCCCTACGGCCTCACGTCCCCCGCAGACGCGTACGCTTGGGGGCTCCGAAGGACGCTGGTGCCGCCCCCTCTCACATACGAATTCATGGGAATGGCGAGCTATGCTCCCACCACTTTCCACAAACTCCTAGATCACGAGGTTGAGAGCAACGGCTCTAGCATCAGCGACGTGGCACCTAGCCACCGTCCGTCCCAGGAGTGTGCTATGGCGGACGCTCCAGGACAGCCGCCGGTGGTAGCGGAGTCCTTGTAGACTCACACACCTCCGGACCCTCATGCGGGGCCCTCGCGCTCGCACAAAAGCATGGCGAGGAGCTACGACAACGGTGGTAGAACCAGCCGCCACCTGCGTCGGCACGCTCGGCGCACCACGCTGCGCCCCATGCGCGTAACCCGGCAAGCGGCGCCTGGGGTCATGCCCGCTAGGTCCAGCGCAACATCATGGATGGGGGGAACGATCCCCCATAGTTCGCTCGGGCTGGCCAGAACTGAAAGGATCAAGATGCCCAAGAGGGGAGGTGAATTGTGCTAATTCTAAAATTCTTTGCAATAATTAAACCCTACACTTAGCCCACTTTACCTCTTGTGCCTAGAAAGTGTTTCTAATGTTCTACCGCACAAAAGTTTTACAACCTAAGTTCCAATCCTACTCTAGCATGACAATTCTATGAATGTAAAGACAAGAATTAAATTGCTCAAAGTAAATGCTTAAAGTAAAGAGAGAAGGAGGAACATGGTAATGTTTTGCCGATGTATCAGAGAGTCGCCACTCCCCACTAGTCCTCGTTGGAGCACCCGCGCAAGGATGTAGCTCCCCTTGATCCGCGCAAGGATCAAGTGCTCTCTACGGGTTGATTCTTTCGACACTCTGATCGCGGTGAATCACCCACAACCGCTCATAACTTGAGTTGGGTCATCCACAAGCTCCGTCGGATGATCATCAAACTTCCAATCACCACAAAGCCGTCTAGGTGATGGCGATCACCAAGAGTAACAAGCACGAACTCTTACTTGACCACGACAAGCCTAATGAGAAGGATGGATGCACACTTTGCTACTCTTGCTTTCACTAATGAGGCCTCTCTCTTGGATTCTCAAATCTCAATCACCTCACTAGGACGTTGCTCTCCTTGGCACTCTCAAGGGTGTTACTCAACTGTTGAAATGAGCAAAAGTGATCCCTTGAGTGAATAGAGGAAGTATTTATAACCCCTTATTGAAAATGAACTGTTATGTGCCTCTGTGGGGTGACCGGACGCTCCGGTCAATTCTCCCCACCACTGAGCAGTTAAGTTGTGATCGGACACTGACCAGCATTCGGTCACAAAAATTGCACTCTAAAACCTTACTGATGTTGACCGGACTCTGGAGCCCAGCGTCCGGTCACTTTGCTGCTTAGCATCCGGTTAGTAGCCGGAACCTAACCAGCATCCGGTCAGCACTGACCGGACGTGTCCGATCAGGATTCTCCCTCTCTGGAACCTTACTGGAGTTGACCGGACTCTGGCACCCAGCGTCCGGTCGCATCCAGATGACTTCACCTTGATCAAATGAACTGACCAGACTCTACGCCAGTGTCTGGTCACACCGGAACCATCGTCCGGTCAACATTTGACCCTCCATTCACTTCCAACTCACAACCATATGTGAGTGAAGTTTGCTGCAATTGATCTTAGGTCTGTTTAGGAGCTACCTAGTGCTAGATTTGACAAGTGTGCACCACACCTAACCCACTAGACTTACCTAGGTCAAGCTACCCGTCCATACCCCCTTGAATAGTATGGCTAGAGGAAAAAACAAAGTCCTAACTACTCTAAGTGTCTCTTCAACACCAAATGACACTTAGAACTAGTCCATCATTTGAAAACCAAAATAATTTCTATCGTAGGGGCATGACAACCATGATTGCCCAATAAATTGTCATTACCATGACCTAACTTAATTGCATCTGCAAAACACACGTTAGTCACAGTAATCTCGTATTGTCATTAATCACCGAAACCCAACTAGGGGCCTAGATGCTTTCAATCTCCTCCTTTTTGGTGATTGATGACAATACAACCTCGAGTATGTAAAAGAGATGGGGTTTTCAACATGCTTGGTTCATATAAGCTTTTGACAATAAGAACAAAAGAGTTAGGCAAGCTGTGGCAGAACCTCCTAAATTATAGGGCCCACATGCACCTGTCACTGTCCAACGACCTTTGACATCTATGCATATGTTCCCGGTAACTTAAGAAGACTGTCGGGTGTCCTCGGGGAACCCCG